ACCATATTGTGTATGATATTTAGGGTTAAATTTCTAGTATTATACATGAATAAATACAGTAATTGTAGTTTTTGATATTTACTGATCTACTTTTTTGATTTTGCCTTTCCTCAGCAACTTTAAAGCATTTTTTAGTGGGTTTTTCTTTACTTTTCTAATAGGTTTAAAAGAAAAATCAAACTGTGTGGCTACGAGTTGATGCGGCTAACAAACTACTAGCATGAAGTGAAACGTGTGGCCAAATATTAAGACAGGAAAACCGCTTTTCATGTTATTTTTGGTCAAAGCTATAAAGAGCCACAGAAGCCGAAGCAAAGAGCCACAYGTGGCCCCAGAGCCGCAGGTTGCAGAGCTCTGCTTTAACCCTTTATGGTAGTATGTTCAGTCTTTAGCCTCAACACAAGCGAAGAATAAAAACAACGAGCTCACCTTGTAAGAAATAAAGCACGAGGATACATGTGGAGATGGACTTGGATGTCACCCGAATCCACCACTGAAAGAAGAACGGATACAGCAGAACTCGGACCAGACCTTTACGAGTCTGAGCTGTCCACGGACTCTCTGGTTTGGCTTTGCTGAAGGTTGAGCCTAAAAAAACAAAAAAATGATCAAACCAAAACAGAGCTTAATTTAAATGAACACAAGTTTGGGTTTGTATATGGATTTATCACCTTCTCACCTCTTACTAAGTCAACATCGATGAGATCTGGTTTGATGTAACCGGTCTTCTTCGGCTTGCTCTCCAAACCCTAAACACAACAAACACCTCAGGTTACAGGGAACGGCAACATTTCAACACAAACAACTATCTCATTGTAGAGAAATGTGTCTCACAACTAGTTCCGCTGTCTCCAGTGATTTCTCCCAGACTTGCTGATCGTAGGCACCGATCTGCAACAAAAACAATGTTCTCATTGTTCAGATTTAAAAAAAAAAAAAAACACAACAAGAGGCACAAGCAGCTCAATTGAAATTTGTCTCGGTTAGCACAGAAATCAAAAAATAAGCACACTGGTTAATAACAGCCTCTTTGGTTTAAGGTTTATGGTAAATTATCCAAATGAAAGGAAGACTTGAAAGAAGAAATTCTGCCATGCATCTCAAGTAGACAAATAATAATGGATTTACATCAACTGTTAGAGGTATTAACTAAGATTTAGCAGTATAATCCTCCAAATATAGCAACAAAAACGTCTGCACAGAGAAATTCAGGCAGCGCTCTGTGTAAAAAATAAAAATCAAATAAATAATAAATAAATATAATAAAACAAAAAATAATGTTTACCTGATTTAGGCTTTTTCTACATTGTCATTGTTTATAAGGTGTGAAATATTATGAAAATGCACATTTTTGCTGATAAAGTCTTAAAGCTTTAATCCCACATATCAATTCATGTTATGTTTTACACACACATAGTGAAACATATATATAGAGAGAAAGATAAAAAATGTTATAAATATATATATTTAAAGCTTACTATTAAAGCACAAAAATATAATAGTCTTACCTTCTCTTGATACCAAGCTATTCTGACCATTGTTACCAGTAACAAAAGCCAAAACACTGGGATCAGGACATGTTACTGGATTGGCCAGAAATCCAGATTTGAAGTAAACAGACTCACTGCTAAAAAAACCACAAATATTTATTGGAAAAAGCACTTTTTAAAAAAAAAATAAACACTAACAATCAGCAAAATAAAGAATATAAACAAACACTTACCTATGGCAAGACCTCAAGCTGATTTAGGCACAAAATGAAAGAAAAGTCTTCAAAAATCATAATAGTGGACTAAAAAGTACTTTCTTGTCATTACTTTCAGTCTCCTCTTCTTTTAAAACTGAGGGGTCTTTTAAATGCACGTCCGTCGTATTTAAACACTCATAAATGTTACATTTTAACCACTGCTCACTTAATCACGCGCTTTCAGCAGTTTTAAAGATTTGTTTCCAAATGTTTTGTATTTTTTAGCTAACTCTTCCGCTTTTCTTTTCCGGGTTGATCGAGTTGTGTCCGTGGGTTTTTATTTTCCCCACGTATTGTCTTTCAGGAGCTACTTTGACCCTTACAGGCGGGTTTAAAATCGTAAAAAAGGGACAAATTCACAATTAATCAAAACACTTGAATTAGCTTTACGTTAAAGTGAACATTCTGTGTCTTTTAGTATTAGTATTTTTGTTTCTTAGTTTAATTTTGCCGAATGAAAAGAGTGAATTGCTGCCTGAGAGGCATGCTGAGGTAAATTATGAAAGACAAATGAAAAACACAAATCTGAGCCAATCAGAGCGAAGAGAAGTCAGGCGCCTGCCTGCCTGTCTTTCTTTCTTTCTTTCTTTCTTTCTTTCTTTCTTTCTTTCTTTCTTTCTTTCT